GGGGGGTGGGGGGGTGGAATTTTAGAAGGGCTTTCTGTGTATGACAGGAGCCACATTGAAATTGGAGGGTTCCCTAGGCCCCGCTATTACGGGTTGTGATGGGAGGTCCAGTAGGAGCCCTTTAGACTGGAAAGAATGTCTGGCCTAACTCTAACTCACACTTAGCATGTTGAAGAGCAGCAGTTGGGGCACCAGAGGTACCTATGCTTGCACAAGGAGTTAGAGGATAAACTTAAGGCCCAAGGGACACTGAAAACAAAACCCTAGATTCTGAAAGCTCTGGCCTGGAAGAGTCTCCCACAGGGGTGAGGCAACTCCCTGTAGCCCCAGGACTACCCTGGCCATTCTCCTGGCTGTCCTTCCAGTTCCTGGTCAGAGCTTTCTCTGCTGCCCTCCAGTGGAAGATGTGGGGAGTGCAGATGGCATGCAAATGGAGAGGCGGCCTGGGAAAACAGATTTTAGAGCTAGCAGTTGTGGATGGGATTGCCATGGGGGCGCCTGGTAGGAGGAAGACTGGGTGATGAGGCAGGAGCAGACTTGCTAGCGGAAGGACTGAGATGCTAGGTGGTCCTGGAACCCCTAACCACTAGTATGGGCTGGAGAGTCACCTGGGAAGTGTTGCTGACAAGTCTCCAAAAGGCATTTGTTTGCCCACATTCCACCAATGAGAACCAGTGACGCCCTCCTGGGTGCTGACAGTGGGGCTTGCCCTAACTAGCACATCAAAGAAAGAGAGGTGGCTTTGATTGTGAAGGGTATAGGCAAATCCAAAGGTGTGAGTTCACCTGTGGTGACCCAGTGGATAAGACCATTGTGGATACAGGAGAAAGAGGACTTGATCCCATGACCTGGCCTACAGGAAGAGAGGAGAAGGACAAAACCCAGAAGAACTGGCTCCTATGGCAGGTGGGACAGAGTCTAGGAGGGGATGGAGTTGGTGAATCAGGTGTTTTTCCCCAAGAAGTGTGGTCCCAGCCAGGTCCCCGAGAGACAGGCAATTGGGGAAGACCTGAGTCTTCTGGGGTATACACAGCAGGGTCCTGATGGTGGTGGCCTTTGAGGTCTGAGGTCCTAATCAGGGGTGTAAGTTGGCTGTGCGTTACCCCTCAGCCTCCTCTCTCTGATCATCAAAGACTGAGGGCAAGGGTTGCTACACTGGATGTTTGCCTGGCAGACCTGTGAGGGAGTGGTCACAAAGCACCCTGTGTAGAAGAGCTTCTGGGGTGGAGCCTTGAGAAGTAAAGGTAGTAGGCTCTGGAGCCACAGCCAGAGCAGGAGTGAGAACTGAGGCACCCAGAGTCTCTGCTTTCATGACACAGACTCAGCTGTGGAGATTCCCTGTCTCTTGATGACTGCTGTTTTGTGTCCTGGAGGTGGCTCCTGGTCAAAGCACAGGGCTGAGCCCTGTCCAACTGTATTTGGCCTACTTAAGGGGGCTGCAAGGCATGCCCTCATAGGTGCCCCAAACCTGTTGCACCCCCTTCCCAAAGCCAAGTAACCTCACCTCTGACTAGGTAGGTGCTGCCCCTTTCCTCCTGCTGTGCCAGCTGGAGCCTGGGGTATACAGTACCAATTCTATCTGTAAACACCCTCTGCCTCCTCTGGAAATCTCTCACATGGGATCACCTCTCTACTTCCCCATCATCCCAGCTCCAAGCCTGCCTCTCAGCTGCATGGCTGGGTCTACTGCCTACACTATGAGGTGAGAGCTATTTGAGACCTCCCAGTTCCTAAGCCCCTGTATACGGATGACCTCATGAATATCCTGACATTTGGCACCAGAAATACATGGTATAGAGTGACTTGATTCAGCTGCAGATACTGAGGGGCAGGCTGCTGGCCTAGACTCCAGCTTGTAATGTTTGGGATGGGGTTGGATCAGTGTCCTAGCGCTTCTAGGAATTATTTTGGGCCCCAAAACTTTCCAACAGGCCCTATGCTCTGAAGACTTTGTAGTCCTCTCCCTACTCTCTGGGGCCCAATTGCCTCCCTCTGCCTGCCCCCTGCTGCCTGCCTCTTCCACCTGCTGTGGGAGTGTCAGTTCAAGTTTGTCTCTGAACACCCATCTCTTCTCTTCTAGTCTTAAGACTTGTGCGCTTTAAATCCAGTTTGTTTATGACTCACTGTACCTCAACTGCTCCCAGACACCCTTAGACATCCCAGCTGCAGCAGCCACTTCCAAGGCATGGCAAAGAGCAGGCCCAGTAAAAGGTAACCCTGAAGTGGGTGCTCCTATCTTGGGCTCTCTGGCTCAAGGACTTTTGTACCTCCCTCACACTTGACTGTCTCCGCCTGCCAGACACTCCCCCCCCAGTTTGGAGCTGAAGGCACTAATAGTCTTAGTCTGCCTCCAGTCAGAAAGCAGCTTCCCAGCCCCAGCAAGTGTGGGGAAAAAAACCTGAGGAGACCCAGAGTGGCCTTAGAGAACACAGTCGCCATCAGATGGTGGTCTTGGGGATCTGAGCGGCAGCTGTTAAGTGGGGCACCTGAGGCCAGGGAAGCAAGGACTACAGGTGAGCCCTGGGAACTGATTGGTACAGGGCCTCTGGGAAGACTATCTGCATATCATGCAGAGTGAACAATAGAAGGGACAAGATCCCAGACTCTGGCTGGCATGGAGGGCAAGGATCCTGGGAGATGAGCCAGCAGATAAAAGTGCTGCTAGCCACAAAGCCAGATCCCTGGAACCCATGTAAAAAGCACTCCTATGGTGACATGGGAGACAAGAGAGTTTCCCAGAAGCCTGCAGGCCATTTAGCTTGGAGTCCAGAGCACAACAGCAGAAACAGAGATCCTGCCTTCACAGAGTGGAAGGGAAGAACCAACTCTCCAAAGTTGTGCCCTAACCTCCACACATAATAAATAATTTGTTTTCCTTTGAGATGGGGTCTCCCTGTAGCCCTTGCTGGCTTAGAACTCCCTATGCAGAGGAGATTGGCCTCAATCTCACAGAGATTTGCTGCCTCTGCCTCCAAAATGCTGGAATTAAAGGCATGCACCCCCATGATTGGCTCCCAAATAAACTTATTATTATAATTTAAATATTTTGCTTATTTCTCTTATTCTTTGTGTATGAGTATATTGCCTACATGTATGTAAGTGCAGCCATGTCCCGGGGTGCCAGAGGTCAGAAGAGGGTGCTGGATTCCCTGTAACTGGATTTATGGACAGTTCTTAGCCACCATGTGGGTGCTGGGAATGGAACCCACGTCCTCTGCAAGAGCAGTCAGTGCTCTTAACCACTGAGCCATCTCTCCAGCCCCATAAATAAAATTTTATGAAGACACACCTTTGGCCAGGGACATAGCTCAGTGGTAGAGTGCTTATCTACCATATACGAGGCCCTGGGTTTGATCTCCAGCACCTCAAAGGTTTTAGCCAGGTGTGGTTTGGGGTGAAGTGGTCAGGGAAGTTCACACTGTAATACCAGCACTTGGGAGGCTGACGCAGGAGGACTGGAGGACCACCACAAGTTCTCGGCCAGTCTAGGACAGAGCGTGAGATGCTGTCTCCAAAGTGCCTGTCAGAGAGAGCCTGGTCCTGGCCCGGAGGACACCACGCGCGACCTCTAGGGGCCGCTGCTACGTGGAGGTGGGCCGGCTTGCCCCGGAGCGTGGCTTCTCCACCCTACCCATTGGGGGAGGGGCGTGGCGGGTCACTGCGCATGCACGTTGCCTGCGCTTCCCGCAGGGTCTGCTGGGCACCTGGACGTCTGCGGCGAAACCAAGTGGAGAGCGACCCGAGGGACATGTGGCGGCCGGTGAGGACCCCGCCCCCGCACGCGCGGACCCGGGCATCCGAGCCCACCGCGCCCCGCCCCGGGTCCTGATCGTGTGCGCCCCGCACCTTGCGCCACCCCCTCGTCCCGGCCCTGTCCGCGACCCTGGAACCCTGGAGAACATTCACGGCCTCCCTTCGCTCCCCTGACCCTTGGGGAGGCTCGGCACCACCCGCCCTGCCTCCTGGACGCCCCTCCACTGCCTGCAGCACCCCTCCATTCCCCACCGGAAGCTGTTCTCTGGCTTCTGGGAGGGAGAGAGCATCACGACGCCCGCCGGCTCGGGCTCCCCCTCCTGCTCTTGGCCCCGGTGTTCTGACCCTGGAGTTGTCCTCGCCTACCCCTGGCCTTGCAGTATGACCCTTTCTGCAGCTGTGTTCCTTTTAAACTTGGACTTCACAGAGGCTGTTTTTCTAGCACATCTGGCCTTGTCGGTTTACATACTGATAGGCAAGGGTTAGGTTAACTTGGCTTGCTGTGAGCATGCTTTCTGGGCTGATGTGATGGAGCCCTCTTTGAGAGTCAGGAAGAGACCATGCTCGCCTTTGGTACCGCACTTTAAAGTTGCAAAACCTCTTCACATTCACGTCACTTGTTACGTAATCCTCCAGACAGTCCTGGGGAGTGGCGAGGCAAGTTTTAGCCTCTGATGAGGAGCTACTCCCCAGTGTGACTGAGTCCAGCAGGCTTCTATTAGAGGATGATACTCCATACCGACCCTCTCCATCTAGCTCAGGTCTCCAGTCTGTTACCTCCTAACTTTGGGAACGGTTCTGTGCCTGTTTGCCTTTGGACTGTCCACCCTGTTAAGTTGTCTGGTCTGGTCGCCTCTTTTCGTTGTTTTGGGCCATATCCTGAGTCTAGGCAGTCACTTCTTCCTGGTTGATGATCTCTTGGAGTCACTCCTCAGAGCTTGTTTTTGTTGCTGCTTAGGGTCACTGGAGAAGAGCCCAGGTTGAGTGTTTCTTTCTACCAATGGATTGTGCACACACTCACTTTAAAAAGTGTGAGAACCAAGCGTGGGGAGCCCATGCCATCTTGTCCCGACTGGCAGGAGTGGAGAGGCTGCAGTTGGCCAGCATTACCGCAGGCTGGAGTGGTTGGGAGGACAGCATTGTCCTGATGGGAAAAATGTCCTGAAGCATGTCTTTTTGTCTATTTGCCGTTTGGTGGTCATGTTCTGGGCAGGGCTTGGGGTATGTGCCATGTGGAACTTGCTTGGGTTCTAGTGGGTTTGGCTCTAGACTCAGCCCTATATTGGCTTTTTTAGGTTCTTGAAATATTTTGTGGTGGGGATTTCAGAGGATAACCTGGTAGGTGTTGGTTAGCCTACCCCAGAGGGAGCCAGGCATTTGAATAGTCCTGGGTGGGGAGGACGTTGGAGTTGCCAGGCTTTGTCTACTTAGTATCCTATCCAGTGCCAGGCTGCCATTTTCTACCTGACTATGACTTTCTGCCTGTTGCTTGACAAAAACCTTGGCTGGAGCTATGTAGGTTCTGATTAGTCCTGTGCTTCAGCACTATTGATGTCGTTCAACAAGTGTCTGTTGAAGCCTGCGTTGACTCCAGAACCATGGGTGGCCTGTGACAAGCCAGGAGACATCCTATATACTCACTGTTGAACCAGCCTAAGATGAGGACAGTGAGAGAGGAGTGTACAATGTGCAAAGGCACTCAAGGATGAAGAGGCAGGACCAGAATGACATGGGCAGGATGTGCTGTGGATGAATCCTGATGGGGCAGAGGGCACTGTGGGCACCTCATAGAGGGATCTTTGTCCCATATCCTCTATGAATGAAGAGGCAATGAGACCTCCTTCAGTGCTGAGTAATTACAGTAGGGAGGAAGGCCTTGCCTGCAAGCGCAGTTCACACCATGCTGGTGATGGGGGGTGGTATGCTGCAGCCTCTGCTTCTCCACCAGAGCCCTGACAGTGGCAGGTAGTCATTAGGAGTTTGGGGCATTCCCAGTGGCTGTAGTTGCTGCCTCCTCCTCCTCCTCCTCTTCTGCCTCTTCTTCTGTTTTTGAGACAGGGTCTCACTGTGTAATCCAGGCTCTCCTTGAACCCACACTCCTCTGGGCTCAGCCTTCCAAGTGCTGAAACTACAGGCCCTCACCACGATGCCCCACTTGTAGCACATTCATTCAAAAATAATTTAAGACCCAGGTGTAGGGGCATATTCCTATAATCCCAGCACTCGAGAAGGGGAAACAGGAGGCAGGGTCATCCTCAGTTACATAATGACTTTGGAGCAGCCTGAGCTGTGGCTACACAAGACATGAGACCATGTCTTTTTTTTTTTTTTTTTGGTCTTTCTGAGACAGGGTCTCCCTGTAGCTCCAGCTGTCCTGGAACTCACTATGTAGACCAGGCTGGCCTTGAACTCAGAAAGATCTGCCTGCCTCTGCCTCCAGAGTGCTGGTACACGGGGTGGAGGGCACTGAGGTGAACGCCTGCGGCATGAGGTACTATCTGAATGCTACATTGTTGTCCCTAGGTCACCGGAAAGCCTGAGGAGCCGGACAACTGGTGCTCCACTGAGGCAGCATAAGTTTTTTTAAGCTTTTTTTTTTTTTTTAGACAGTGTCTCCCTATAACCCCTGCTGGCCTAGAACTCGCTATGTAGACCAGGCTAACCTCGAACTCACAGAGATGTGCCTCTGCCTCCTGAGTGCTGGGACTAAAGGTGCAGGCCACCACTCCCGGCGCTAGATTCATTCTTTAATTGTACCTTTTTTTTTTTTCTTTTTGAGACAGGGTATCCCTGTAGCCCCAGCTGTCCTAGAACTCACTATGTAGACCAAGCTGATCTTGAACTCACAGAGATCTACCTGCCTCTGCCTCCCAAGTGCTGGGATTAAAGGCGTGCACCACCACGCCCAGCAATGATACCTAATTTTAAAACCAGGAAACTGAGGCATATGAAGGAGAAGTAACTTACTTCATTCTGCATAGATGAGTGCCACACCCAAGAGCCTGTCCAGAGTCTGACCAGGGTCTGCAACAAACCTGGGGGCATCATGGGCTTTGCTGGCATGAGCCGCATCCCTAGCCTCCTCCTCAGTGCTGAAAACACTCTTCTTCCATGACAGCCTAGGCCACAGCAAGACCCTGTCTCAAGAGAAAAATCAAAACAAAGAAAAAAAAATCCTTTCTCCAAGACAGGTGGTAATAAGTATATCTCTAGTTGATGCCAAGTGTCCTGGGCACAGAATCACCCCAGGTGAGGGCCCCTGCCTAAAGTAGCTGCCTTATCTGCAAAGCTCCACCTCAGCTGGCATCTTCAGTATGACAGCAGATCTTTTGCAACTTTTTTTCGCTTTGTGCTGGAGATTGGACCAGGGCCTTGTGCATGCTAGGCAAGTGTATATACCATTGAGCTATGTCTCCAGCCCTTTTTACTGTTATTTTGACATAGGGGCTTGCCTTGAACTTGGCTTGTCCTCATTCCTCAACCTCCTGAGTGTTGAGATTACAGCAATGCATCACCATGCCCAGCTTTTATTACTTTTTGGGCACATAATTGTATATTTTAAAAAAATTTTTATTTTTTTACTTTATGTGTATGTGTGTATTGCCTGCATGTAGGTAAGTGCACCTGTGTCGTGTAATGCCTGCAGAGGTCAGAGGAGGCTGTCGGATCCCCTGGAACTGGAGTTAGGACAGTTGTTAGCTGCCATGTGGGTGATGGGATTCGAACCTGGGTCTTCTGCAAGAACAACCAGTGTTCTTAACCGCTGAGCCATCTCTCCAGCCCCCATAATTGTATATTTTCATTGAGTACAGGGTGTCATTCCCACATGTGCATAACACATAGTGATGAAATCAGGACAGTTGGCACATCCATTACCTCAGACATCCATCATTGAAAGCATTTAGCAATAGAGTAGATGATCAGGTGATATGTGTGTTTAACTGTTCAGATACCTCCTGCTGGACCTACCATTGTTAATATGCTGCTTCTCAATTTGCAGTGGGTATTTTTATTGCCTTTGGGCCATTTGAAAGTAAGTCACAGACATTTTGATACTTAATCTTTTTCAAAATTATTATTTGTTTTCAAACAGGTCCCACTGTATAGCCCTGGCTAGGCTGAAACTCAATATGTAGACCAGGCTGGCTTTGAACTCACAGAGCTCCACATGCCCCTGCCTCTTGAGTGTTGGGATTAAAGGTATGTAAAATAGCTGGTTTTTTGTTTTGTTTTTTTTTTTTTAAACAAGGTCCCAGGGCTAGAGAGATGGCTCAGTAGTTAAGAGCATTGGCTACTCTTCCAGAGAACCTGGAGTCAGTTCCCAGCAACCACGTGGCTGCTAACAGCTGTTTGTAACTCCAGTTCCAGGGGGATCTGATGCCCTCTTATGGCCTTTGTGGATTTGCACTTACAGATGCACTTAACATATAGGCAAAGAACTCACATAAAAATTATTTTTTTTAATATTTTATTTTATTTATTTTATGTGTATGTGTGTATTGCCTTCATGTAAGTAAGTGTACCTGTGTCGTGCAATGCCCGCAGAGGACAGAAGAGGCTGTTGGATCCCCTGGAACTGGAGTTACGGACAGTTGTTAGCTGCCATGTGGGTGCTGGGATTCGAACCCAGGTCTTCTGCAAGAACAGTCAGTGTTCTTAACCGCTGAACCATCTCTCCAGCCCCATATTATCTTTTTCTGAGTAACTCAGAAGATAAGGCAGCTCCACAGGGTTAACACTTTTGGTCTTTTTGAGACAGGGTCTCACTGTAGCCCTAGCTGTCCTAGAACTCACTATGTAAACCAGACTGTCCTTGAACTCATAGAGATCTGCCTGCCTCTGGGATTAAAGGTGTGCACCACCACGCCCCATCTCTCCAGCCCCATATTATCTTTTTCTGAGTAACTCAGAAGATAAGGCAGCTCCACAGGGTTAACACTTTTGGTCTTTTTGAGACAGGGTCTCACTGTAGCCCTAGCTGTCCTAGAACTCACTATGTAAACCAGACTGTCCTTGAACTCATAGAGATCTGCCTGCCTCTGGGATTAAAGGTGTGCACCACCACGCCCGGTTTATTTATTTTTTTAATTTAATTTATTATTTTTATTTATTTATTTTTTTTGTATTGCCTGCATGTAGGTAAACGCACCCAGCCTCTGCCTCCCAAGTGCTGGGATTAAAGGCATGCGCCATCATGCCCGGCCCTATCATTTTTATTTTATGTGTGTGAGTGTATTGCCTGCGTGTATGTGAGTGCACCCATGTCATGCAATGCTGCAGAGGTCAGAAGAGGGCTTCAGATTCCCCTGGAACGGGAGTTAAGGACGGTTCATAGCCACCATGTGGGTGCTGGAAATTGAACTGTGTCCTCTGCAAGAGCAGTCAGTGCTCTTAACCACTGAGCCGTCTCTACAGCCCTTAAAATGAATATTTTTAAAAAAAGAAATAGTAATAATTCCCTAAGTTTATCACTCAGTACAGATTCACATTTGCCTGTTGTCCTGGTATTCTTCAAGTCAGCATCTGGCCTTGATCATTCTATGTGGTGACTGTCTGGTTTCTTAGACTACAGCTGTATTTTACCTTTTTCTTATGACCTTTTTTTAACTTAAGGAAATTGCAGGTATTTACAGAAGGAAAGAGAGTTAGTGAATTCCTTGTCCTTGTACCAGTGATTCATAAAGGCGGGGCCTTTGGAGATTGTCCAACACTCAAAATGACTTGTATGTCAGGGTAACCGATAATGTCCAGTGGACTTATTGTCTTGCTGAGAAGATCAGAATCAGCAAAAGTGAATGTGGTAGTGTAAGCCTCTGGTGAACTCAGTACGTGGGAGGCCGAGGTCGGAGGAGAGTTCAAAGCCAACTTGGATTATGTATGAGACTCTGAAAAAAAAAACAAAAAACTGGAAAAGCTGGGCGTGGTGACGCATGCCTTTAATCCCAGCACTCAGGAGGCAGAGGCAGGCGGATCTCTGTGAGTTCAAGGCCAGCCTGGTCTACATAGTGAGTTCCAGGACAGCTGGGGCTACAGGGAAAGCCTGTCTCAAAAAGACCAAAAAAAGAAAAAAAAAAACAAAAACCAGAGTAGGGAGCCTGGTATAGTAGCACACACATTTAATCCCAGCACTTGGGTGGCAGAGGCAGGCAGATCTCTGTGAGGTCCAGGCCAGCTTGGTCTACAGAGTGAGTTGTTCCAGGTCACCTGGGGCTACAGGGAAACCCTGTCTCAAAAACTCAAAACAAAAACAAAAAACTGGAGGGGTGAAAAAGGAGACATAGCAACATAGTCTTGAGCCAGATAAGCAGGCACCTGGCATGGGGTGGTATCATTGTATCCCCAGTTCTCAGGCTGTAGCCTCAGAGTATTGTGCCTTGAGACCATTTGACTCTGGCCCCCTCAAACTCGGCACCTGTTTTTTCCTGCTTTCACTGACCTCCCAGAATGTGTCTACTGGCCTAGTAGGGTTCCCAGCCAGAGTCCCTCACTTCCCCACTGCTGGATAACTGTGGGCCCTAGAACATCGTGCATAACTGCAGCTCTCTTTGAGTACCTACCCAGGTTGTTTTCCAGCCTCAGAGGCCTGTTTCCTACCAGTGCTGTTTTATTTGTGTTCCACTTTACTGCGATATTGGGGGAGTAGCTGGGCAGGAACATCTGGTAAAGCAGCATGGTAGTGGCATCATGGCTAGACCAGCCATCCTCTAGGCACTTTCCAGCTCCTGCTCCAATGTCAACGCAGCTGGTAGTCACAATCACCATTCTCCAGGCCTCCTTTTCTGCATTGCTAGTAGGGGTAGCTAAAGCCAGATGCGTGTGTGTCAGATGAGCTGCAAGGTTAAAGTTACCTACAAGTCTCCCATCTGCCTGCAGCTACTCTTCTTTGAAAACTGGGCCCTGCTGCATATGGTCTTGCTGAGCAAAGGGTTCAGTTCCTGGAACGATAGGTCACAGACTTCATCCTTTAACTTTTGCATTGTTTTTAAGTCCTTGAAATTATCAGCAGGACTATGTGCCTTCCCAGAAAACAATGGGGAGTGTACTTGTTTGGTCCAGCGTTCACGATAATGTTCATATGTGTGCCATGGGTATGATGCACTTTTTCACCCTGATCACTAACTTCCTAAACTAATTTGCAGTTTCACTTTTTTTTTTTTTTTTTTTTTTTGGTCTTTTTGAGACAGGGTCTCCCTGTAGCCCCAGCTGTCCTGGAACTCACTATGTAGACCAGGCTGGCCTTGAACTCACAGAGATCCACCTGCCTCTGCCTCCCGAGTGCTGGGACTACAGGCGTGCACCACCACACCCAACTTGCAGTTTAACTTTGAAGTAAAAAAAAACCTCACTGTTTGGGGTGGGGGTGGAGAGATGGCTCAGCGATTAAGAGCAATGGTTGTTCTTGCAGAGGACCTGGGTTCAATTCCCAGCACCCATTTGACAACTAACAACTCCAAATCTAGGGGATCTGACACCTTCCTCTGACCTCCTCAGGCATTGCATGACATGGGTGCACCTACCTACATGCAGGCATTACACTCATACATAAAAAAAATAAATGAAATATTAAAAATACCCTCATTAAGGTCAGGCGTGGTAGTGCACTCCTTTAATCCCAACACTCAGGAGGCAGAGGCAGGCGGATCTCTGTGAGTTCAAGACCAGCCTGGTCCACATAGTTCAGGACATCTGGGGCTACAGGGAGACCCTGTCTCAAAAAGACCAACAACAACAGCAAAAAAATACTCTCATTGTTCAAAGATCAGGAGCCAGGTATAGGGTGGTCCTAGCTACTCTTACGCTGAGCCAGGAGTACCTCTTGAGCCCAAAAGTTTAAGGCTAGCCAGGGCAGCACAGTGAGAACCCCATCTCAAGAAAAACAAAGGAGACTGTGAGACCTAGGCTTCCAGTGAGTGCCTAAGAGCCATGGTATTTCCTGGACATGAACAGCTGCAGTAAGTAATCTTCCATCCCAGGGTTTCTGGGAGTGTGTCCTAGGCCATGCACATTGTCTGCACTGTCTTGTCTGCTGTTTTCCAGGTAGGAGGTCCCCAGTGTTCTGCCCCTAGGTTCAATGTTGATTTAAGCACCATATATATATATATGGTTTTTTTTGGGGGGGGTGGTCTTTTTAAGACAGGGTCTCTCTGTAGTTCCAGCTGACCTGGAACTCGCTAAGTAGACCAGGCTGGCCTTGAACTCACAGAGATCCACCTGCCTCTGCCTCCCAAGTGTGCTGGGACTAAAGGCATGTGCCACCATGCCCATCCTAAACTCCTTATATTTTTAATGTTTTTATTAGCACCTGTAATTATACATAATAATGATTTCATTCTGTCGTTTTTATGTGTGTATATAAATAATTTGATTATATATGCCTCCATTCTTTTCTCTTGTCCCCTTTCCACCCTGGCTCATCCATTTCCTCCTCCTAACTAGTCCACGTTCTACTTTCATGTCTTTGTGTGCATGTGCGTGTGTGAGTGCATGCATGCATGTGTGAGTGCGTGTTTGTAACCCAGTGAATTTCATTAGGGTTACTTAGCAGGACTGTGGGTGAGGGATTATTTACAGGAGCATGTGTACCTTACTAGTACCTACCACTGAAGACAATGTCTATCCCTCTCCCAGCAACCATCCTCAGAGAGGAGTGAGGCCTGCTGAGTCTCTCCCTACTCCATGACAGGATACTTATGGCCCAATCTTATGCAGATCTTGTACGGCCAATCCCAGTTGCTGTGAGTTCAAGAGTACAACAGCTGAATTACACCCGGAGAACAGCATCCACAACACTCTACCCCATCCCCTGACATTTACATCTATTCCACAGTATTCCCTGAGCTTTGGAGGGGGTGATATAGATGTCCCACTTATGGCCAAGCATACAGTAGTCACTTGTTCTCAGTACTTTGACCACTTACGAGTCTCTGCAGTTAGTGTTGACTGCAAAAAGAAACTTCTCTGACCAAAGCTGACAGCACTAATCTGTGGACGTAAACGTAATGTTAGAAGATAATTAATTTGATGGGCACATCATGTCCACTTAAAACAACAGTTTAGCAGGGCATGGTAGCGCACACCTTTAGTCCCAGCACTCGGGAGACAGAGGCAGGTGGATCTCTGTGAGTTCAAGGCCAGCCTGGTCTACGTAGCGAGTTCCAGGACAGCTGGGGCTACAAGGAGAACATGTCTCAAAAAAAGACCAAAAAAAAAAAAAAACCCCACACCAGTTTGTAGCTTCCCCATTAGGGCCTGTGGCCTCCCTAACCATGGCTGTTGCCCAGGTTTACAGGGCCAGCTCCTTTTGCTTTCAGAACAAGGTCCAACACAAAAGCCACTTCTGTTGGGTCTCCCTCTTAGAGTTGGGCATCTTTCTGAGTGTGTGGGTGGTATTGCTGTCATTGCTCCCACGATATGTTCCCCTTCCTATGTAAATGACAGGTTAAGGGCCACCATGAAAGTAATAGTGGCCCCCTACCACAGACAAGCTGGACCATGGTGCATTCTCTTCCCTTAGAAATGGGTATTCAGCGTCAAGCCCTGCATCGTTCTCCTGGCCTCAGCTGCTCCCCAGCAGGCATCTTGTATCTTCATTGCTGAGCCTATGTATAACTAGCTTCCTGACTAGAGCCCTGGAAGCATAACAATCCTCACTGAGGAGTTTAGGGGAGCACTGTTTGGCACAGCTCTGCTTCAGGCTTGTGTAGGTGGTAGGCTATGACAAGGCCTGAGCCTCTGTCCCTGTGTCCCTGTCTCCCTGTCTCCCTGTCTCCCTGTCCCAGCCTCTGCCAATCGCTGCTTTGTGCTCTCTTCACAGATGCAACTATGCCACTTCCACTCTGTTCTGTTGCAGAGCAGGCAGAAGCCCTGGCCATGCCCTGCCATATTCTTCCGGAGAAATTTCAAGGGCCCACTGACAAGGTAATGAGCCCTCTACGCCACAGGCAGGCTCCTATCCCAAGCAGAACAATAGTTATCACAAAGGTGGAGGGACCCAAACTGGATCTTCTTCTGTAGTTCCAAGTTAAGATATATTTGCATCTCCCTGTGGTGTCCTGGAACTTGAGACCATGGGGTTCCTGATATTATGGGGTATACTCTTGAGACAGGTGCTCACAGGAGGAACTTTATGATGAACAGACACTGGCAAATTGGGAGGATTATAAATAGAGGTACCTGCTCCATCAAACAGATAGGGATCATTTTGAGGTGGAGACTGGGATGTCACAGGGGTTCATCAAGCAAGGGTTAGGAGCAGCCAGAAGTGTGCAGTGACTGCATCTCATGGTCATTGTGGCTCCATGAACAAGGTAAAAGGCTCTTCCTTACAGTGTACTGTGGGACAGATAGGGGACTTGATATGAACATGGTTGGGGCTCCTATTGCCAACATACTCAGCATGCATGGACGTCTGCTATGTTGGACAGCAGGGAGCTCTAGTCTGTTCTGTTGTTTTCTGCTGACTTCAGTGTATGATCAGGTCTTAATTTCCCTACTTTGGATCTTGTTGTGCCACCATGATGGAGATGGGAATGGTGGCCTATTCTGGACAGCACAGGTGGTTCTAGTGAACCACAGACCTACCCTTGAGCTGTACCAACTTGGCTGATGAGCCCTTCATACCCATGGCCAGGGCCAGGGCTAGGGCTGAAGATAGCCCTATTAGTCACATTTCTGTTTCTGTGATAAAACACCGTGGCCAAGGGAACTTATAGAAGGAAGAGTTTATTTAGCTTATGGTTCCAAAGGGGCAAGAGTCCATCATGGAGGGGAGGTGTGGCGGCAGAGGTGACTGGAGTAGGAGCGGAAAGCAGAGACTCACATCTTCAAGCAGGCACAGGAAACAGAGAGTGGCTGGAGATCCTGCAAGGCTTAAGCCTGCCCCCAGTGACATGCTTGCTCCAGCATGGCCATACCTTCTAAGACCTCCCAAAACAGTACCACCAACTGGAGAAAAAAATGTCCAAATACTTGGGCCTAGGGGGACTTTCTTATTCAAACTACCACGCAGCCCAAGGAGACTTTCTCCTCCTGCCATCTGGCATCTGTGCTGTTGGGGGCTCACAGAAAGGGCCCTGGATGTGGTAAATGTCCTCTGGTGACCCCACAGTCTCCACAGAGAGGACTGAGTTGACTTTGGGAAGGCAGGAAAATGGGGAGCTGAGGCCCTGGCTCCCTTGTAGAGGAGAAACACATTCAGCCCCTGCCCATCCATATCTCTCCTCAGGACCTCGAGAATCAGGCTGCTATGGAGGAGGGCACTCTCTGTCACCATGGTAGGGGTTCCCTTGCTCCTTGGAGCCCGCTATTTCACAGCAGAGGCACAGGAGAAGAGGAAGCTGCGACTTGCAATAGATGGCATTGGGCGCTTTGGCAGGTAGGAGGGAGGGACCTACGCATAAGGTTGGGTTGGATGGTCTTCTCCCCACTCCTGTTCCTTTAGGACTGCAGGCTTCTTCTGGGAACTCTGTTGTTACCAGGCAGCATGTAGACAAGGCAGGAAGGCAGTCATCAGAAAAGTTTCTCAACCTCCACTGGTTGGAGCTGCAACAGACTTGACCAGATGGGCCATGGTTTTGAGGGTGGGGGTTCTAACCCTGGTCATAGACAAGCTGCCCTGCCCTACTCACCTCACCATCCAAGGACAGCTGGTATTCAGACAGAGAGGCTTGGGTCTAGGTGGCCCCCTCTCCTAGCACAGTACCAGTGCTTTTCACATTTGTTCTTCTCCCAGTACAGAACTCAGTATGGGCATTCCCATAGCTACTAGCCCAGCCTCATAGGCACTAACTTTCAACATTGAGAGAAGCCTCAATTAACCTGAAGCCTCTTTGAACTGGGTAGATGCTGGTTGGTGTCCCATGGTGCAGGCTGTTGTCCTGTTCCACATAGCTCTAAGTACTGCTTCCTCCCTGAGCTTAGGTCACATTCTCAGGGAAGGCTTAGGATCCCAGGGCCCTTAGAGATTTCATCAGACATGTCACTGAGATTTACTCCAGTAGTGCCAAGGGTATGCCTATGATTGGATACCTGATTTATAGCTTTGAGGCCCTCCATGACTGTCTTCCTGGTGTTTTGCCTGGAGCTCTGAGGCAGGTTCCCATGTAGCCCAGACTGGCCTTGAGTTATTCTTGAAAGTATAGCTGAGGATGACCTTGAACTCCTCATCCTCCTGCATCCACCTTCTGGGTGGCTTTTACCCAGGTACATTTATGAGGTAGTAGGAATCAAGCCCTTGTTTATACTTGGCAAGCACTCTACCAGTTGAGTGAGGTACATCTCCAGACCCTCTTTGAACTTTTTGAGACAGAGTTGCTAAGCTGGCTAGGTAAGACTTGTGATCCTCTCACTTCAACCTCCTGAGTGCCTGGGATTCAACATTTGCACCACCAGGCCTGACTTTCTCTTTTATTTTGAAAGTATTTTAATTATCAGAAAAGCTGAAAGAATAATATAGCGCTTTGATCTTAAATATCTGAGAATATGCTGTGACTTCCATTACATCACCCTAATGCCTTGGGGTGTGTGTGTGTGTGTGTGTGTGTGTGTATAAAAATTTTTTTTCAGTCTTTTTGAGACAGGGTCTCCTTGTAGCCCCAGCTGTCCTGGAACTCACTTTGTAGACCAGGCTGGCCTCAAACTCACAAAGATCCTCCACCTGCCTCTGCCTCCCAAGTGCTAGGATTAAAGGTGTGCGCCACCATGCCTGGCTGGGGTATGTTTTTTGTAAACAAGGACATCCCTTATAAAACTACAATGAAAGACTGGGCATGCTAGTGCATACCTTTAATTCAAAATTTAGGAGACAGAAGTAGGTAGATCTCTGTGAGATCAAGGCCAGCCTGGTCTATATAGTGAGTTTCAGGCCAGCTGGGGCTACAGGGAGACCCTGTCTCACACACACACACAAAAAACCCAACCCCCCTCCCCCAAATAAACAAACTGCAATGAAAACTGATGCATTGCCAAGTATGGTGGCACATACCTGTAATCCCAGCATCTGGGAGGGCTGAGACAGAAAAATTTTGAATTAAAGCCAGGTTAGGCTTCAGAGGGAGTTTAAGACCAGACCAGCCTAGGCGGGGTTGGAGAGATGGCTTAGCAGTTAAGAATACTGTTCGTGCAGAAGACCCGGTTTCGAATCCCAGCATCCACATGGCAGCTAACAACTGTCCTAACTCCAGTTCCAGGGATCCGACAGCCTCTTCTGTCCTCCTCGGGCATTGCACGGCATAGGTGCACTTACCTACATTGCAGGCAATATACGCATACATATAAAACAAAAATAATACATAAAATTTTAAAAAATAAATAAAAAGACCAACCTAGGCAACTTAGCATTTCTTGGTCTCAAAACAAAGGAACAAACAAAAACCCTGATACATTGAACTGGGTGCACACCTGTAATCCTAGAACTTGAGAGGTAGAGGCAGGAAGATCAGGAATTCAAGTCCTCTTTGGGGGGCCAGCCAGATGGTTCTACCAATAAAGTCTCTTGCCGTGGAGCCTGATGACCTGAGTTCAATTCCTTGGGATCCACATAATGGAGAGAATCAACTTCAAAAAGTTGTTTTCAGACATCCATATATGTGCTGTGGCGTGTGTGTATACACAAACATTTTTTTGGTCTTTTTTAAAAAATATTTTGTTATTTTTATGTGTATGAGTGTATTGCCTGCGTGTATGTGAGTGCACCCATGTCATGCAATGCAACGGAGGTCAGAAGAGGGTTTCGGTGAGTTAAGGATGGTTTGTAGCCACCATGTGGGTGCTGGGAATCGAACCTGGGTCCTCTGCAAGAGCAGTCAGTGCTCTTAACCACTGAGCTATCTCTCTAGCCTCTTTTTTGTTCTTTTTGAGGCAGGGTCTCCCTGTGGTCCTAGCTGGCCTGAACTCGCTATGTAGACCAGGCTGGCCTTGAACTCACAGAGATGCACCTGCCTCTGCCTCCTGAGTGTTGAAACTAAAGATATGTACCACCATGCCCAGCCCAAACATAATATTTTCTAAAAGGCCATCTTTGGATATATAGTGAATCTGAGGCCACCCTGGGATACCTGAGACCCTTTCCCAAAAAACAAAACCAAACACCTGACACATTACCACCCTCTTGCCTGTAGGGGCTCTTGGACCATCTTCAAATGGAAAGATCAGCCATAGGTACATTGGTGGCATTTGGTTGTAGCAGCTGCTGCTCTTCAGCCTGGAGTGATCCCTCAGGACCTCCTTGGTTTTCATGACTGCCCAAAGTTGTTCAGACTCAAGATTAAGGGCACAGTCCTCTAACTGCCACATTTGCCCAGACATTAGCTATATGGGCCACCTTCTCTTCAGACTATATGGCTGTAATTTTGAGGTCCCCACAGACTCCCTCAGTTGCTTTTCTATGGTGCTGAAGATTGACAAAGGGCTTCATGAATGCTGGGAAGTGCCCCACTGTTGTCCATACCCTCCCAGACTGAGTCCCAGGACTCAAGAATGTACTTTCCATTTGATTTTTAAAAAATCATTTTTTAAGGCTGGGTGTGGTGGTGCATGCCTTTAATCCCAGCACTTGGGAGGCAGGGGCAGGTGGATCTTTGTGAGTTCAAGGCCAGCATGGTCTACATAGTGAGTTCCAAGACAGCTGGGGCTACAGGGAGACCCTGTCTCAAAAAAAACGAAAAAAAATCATTCTTTTTTATTTACTTATTATTGGGGGCGGGCGGGAATCATTCATTCTCAATGTGCATTCAAAGGACTACTTACAGGAGTCTATTCTCTCCAATCATGGGCATCCCAGGATCAAGCTCAGGTTGTCAGACTTGGCAGCAAGTACCTTTACCTGCCCAGCCATCTTGCCAGCCTGCTTTCCTTATATTTATAGTTGTATGACAGCAAGAAGGTATGAATCAGAGCCAGGAAAGAAACAGGGCAGGGTCTAGCTACCCCACATTCAGAGCTTCGTGGTCCTCAGTGACATCTGTCCTCTCACCACCTGTGTGGGATGATGCATATGGAGTATTGATCACTAAGGAACCCATCTGAGCCTGGGGTTTTTTTCTTTCTTTTAATGGTATATATGAGTGTAGGTGTGCATGTGGAGGTTAGAAGATAACCTTAGGTGTTTGTGCTTGCCTTTCATCTTGTTTGAGACAAGGTTGCTGTGTATGCCAGGTTAACTGGCTCATGAACTTCTGGCAATTTTCCTGTCTCTGCCTCCCATCTCACCATAGGAGTGTTAGGATTACAGTGTGTATCACTGAACTTGGCTTTACATGGACTCTGGGGATTTAAAACTCAGATCTTCACACTTGCCTGGCAGCCACCTTACCTACTGACCCATCTTCCAAGCCCTCTCTCTCTTTCTCTCTACCTACCTACCTGTCTTATTTATTCCTCCTCTAACAGCATCTTATGTAACACAGGCTAGTCTTGAACCTGAGAACTTGCTGTGTAGCTGAGGATGACCTTGAACTCCTCATCCTTCTGTCTCTGGGATTATAGGTGTGCATCACCTTTTACTGTTTTTGGTTTGTTTTGAGACAGGGTCTCCCTGTAGCCCCAGCTGGCCTAGAACTCCTTGTGTAGACCAGGCTGGCCTTGATCTTGGAAATCTGTCTGCCTCTGCCTTCCAAGGACTGAGACTAATGGTGTGTGCTAACACACTCAGCTTTTTTTTTTTATTTAAAATATTTATTATTTTTATTTTATGTGTGAGTGAGTGTATTGCCTACATGTAAGTGCACCCGTGTCGTGCAGTACTGCACCCGCGTCATGCAGTACTCTAGAGAGGGTTTCAGATTCCCCTGGAAGTGCAGTTAAGGACAGTTTGTAGCCGCCATGTGGGTGCTGGGAATCGAACCCAGGTCTTCTGCACGAGCAGTCAGTGCTCTTAACTGCTGAGCCATCTCTCTTCAGTTATACATATGGATTCATGTAGAGATACTATATATGTAATTTTTCAGTAGGTTTTTGTGGTTTTTTTGGTTTTGGTTTTTTTAACAGTCTCACTGTAGCCCCAGCTAGCATGGAACTAAATATGTAGACCAGGCTGGCCTCAGTCTCTTAGAGATCCGCCTGCCTGTGCCTCCCAAGTGCTGGGATTAAAGGCATGTGCCACCACACCTGACTTTTTTTTAAAGACTTATTATTTTACTGGGCATGGTTGCTCATGCCTTTAATCCCAGTACTTGGGAGGCAGAGGCAAGTAGATCTCTGTGAGTTTGAGGCCAGCCTGGTCTGCATAACAAGTTCCAGGCCAGGGAGACCATCTCAAAAAGACCAAAAAAAATTTTTTTGTTTTTATTTTATGTGTATGAATGTTTGCCTGCATGTATGTATGTGTACCACCTGCATGCAGTTCCAACTTAGGCCAGAAGCGGGCATCAGATCCCCTGTAATTGGAATTACACATCTCCTGTAATTGGAATTACAGATGGTTGTGAGCCACCATGTAGGTGCTGGGAACTGAACCCAGGTCTTACAGAGGTGTAAGAGCAGCAAATGCTCTTAACTGTTAAGCCCCCCCTTAACCTTTATTTGGGGAGGGGTGCATGTGCCATTGCTTCCATGTGGAAGTCAGAGGACACTTTGCATGAGTTAATTCTCTTCCTTCCACCATGTGGGTCCTAGGCATGGAACTTAGGTTAACAGTGGTACCCAGGATTGAGTTAATGGCACACACTTTGTTGATGTTATGCAGCACAAGTAGCATGGGCCGTTGGCAGGGCCTCAGGCACTGCCATGATGCCCTCAAAAGTGTTTCACAAGCCATCTCCTGCATGTTTACTGCATCCTCACGCTTCAGCAGGTGGGAGGCCCACAGCTCACCCAGGCACACATGAGCACCTCAGAAACCAGCATGTAGTCTGTGGAAGAGGAAGGGTTCCTGGGTTGGTGTGCAGTAGTAGACTTACGCCTGCTCTTCCGTAGTCCACCCTGCCTCAGTTTGTACCCCATGTGCGGCTGCATATGTCTTTGTTGCAGCGTTGTCCCTCAAGATCATGGCTCACCACAGCTGGCACAGGGATGACCGGCCCCTGTAGGAGGGTTTGGCTATGAGCAAGCCCCAGGCTTCAGAAAAAGGGACCCAGGAGAGGCCCACCATCCTAGTACCTGGCCCCCCAGCTTACTTCTCACTGCTCACATGAACCTGCTGATGTTCAGTCTTAGGCGACTCAAGTCAAATAAACATCGCCTATTCCATTCATGTTTGTTCTTGTTTCTGATATCCCTAGTTCTCACCACTGTAGGTGTAGCCAGTGCCCTAAATGACTAGCTCTGCATTGCTCAGGGAAGGACATCGTTCCCTGGAATGGAAGGGAGCTTGGAGCAACCCTGGCTCTTCTGCTCACTGCCAGCAGCACACTCTGCAATGCAGTTCCTGCTTGCCTTCTGTGTAAGGCTGGGATAGATGGGAAGATCCAGTGTGTGGAGTTTAGCAGGTGCAGAACATGTGCTGACTTCTTTCCTGTTTCTGTAGCTATAGAAGGAACACGAATTCCAAAAGGAAAGGAGCCCTTATCTTTCCAGCTGACACATCAGGTCAAAGACCTGCCACCTTTTAGTTCTGGACCTTCCTGTGGTGGAACAGCCAGAAAGGAGACCAGGTTGAGGTCTTCCAAAGGAACCTAGGCAGACTTAGTTGGAGATACGAGTCTCTCAGACCAAGGATACCCATTGTAGTCCACATAGTAACTTGGCTTTTTTCTTTTTAATTATTTTTTTTAATTTTATGTGTATGTGTGTATCACCTGCATGTAAGTGCACTCGTGTTGTGCAATGCCCGCAGAGGTCAGAAGAGGCTGTTGGATCCCCTGGGACTGGAGTTACGGAGGACAGTTGTTAGCTGCCATGTGGGTGCTGGGATTCGAACCTGGGTCTTCTGCAAAAACAGTGTTCTTAACTGCTGAGCCATCTCTCCAGCTTTTTTCCCATTTTTTTACATCCATTTATTGCATGTGTGTGATACATCACAGTGCACACGTGGAGATCAGAGAACAAATTTCAGGAGGGGATTAAGCTCAGGTTATCAGGTGTGGTAGCAGGTGCCTTTACCTGGTGAGTCGTCTCACCAGCCTGTTTCTGGCTCTTAGAGATCTCTTTTCTTCCTCCCTTTGTAAGTGACTCTTCTGGAACAATGCTGCTTCCATGCCCAGCCATGCCCCCTCTGTCCCCTGGCACCCTTGTCACAGGAGGGAGGCACTGCAGAGCTTAAGCTGAGACTCACCTGCAGGATACTGTCTGAAGTAGTAGGACCAAAGTTACTCCATGAGCTCACAAGGGCCCAAGTGGCTAGAGGCTGGACTTCAGCCCAGCCTCCCATTTGGGCATAGGGGCTGATGGGTGAGGCCAGGCTTTTGGGGGGGGTCTTTTCGAGATAGGGTCTCCCTGTAGCCCCAGCTGTACTGGAACTATGTAGACCAGGCTGGCCTTGAACTCAGAGATCTGCCTGCCTCTGCTTCCGGTGTGAGAGGGAGTTTTGGCATGCGCCACCATGCCCAGCAAGCCAGACTTTTGAGAAGGCTCAGGGTAGAGGGACCCCCTCAAGAATCCCGCCACTCCCCAGCCTGCCTGGGGCTTAGACCACTTCTGCCTGCAGGTCTCTGAAGATTGGTCTGCTCATTTCCCTGGACTACTGGTGGTGTACAAATGTTGTCCTCCGAGGTGTGGAAGAGGTTTGTCCTCATGTCCTGGGCACGTGGGGCGGGGGGCACTGGAGGTGGTGAGTGCTGGGGGGACCAAGGAGTGGCCACCAGTCCTCAGCCTCCCCTCCATGCCTGTGGTCAGAACAGCCTGGAGTATGTGAAGGTGATGTCTGCATGTCACCAGCGTGCAGCTGATGCCCTGGTGACAGGGGCCATTCTCAATGGGGGCCTGTATGTCAAACTGGGCCAGGGCCTGTGCTCCTTCAACCACCTGCTGCCACCTGAATACATCCAGACATTGCGTGTGCTGGAGGACAAAGCCCTTACTCGGGGCTTTAGGGAGGTGAGTCCTAGTGAGAGGAGGGCAGTGGTGGGGAGGGCTGCCTGGGAGACCCTGGCATGGCTCCAAGCATACATTTCTTGCCAGGTGGATGAGTTGTTCCTTGAAGACTTCCAGGTACTGCCTCATGAGCTCTTCCAGGAGTTTGACTACCAGCCAATGGCTGCTGCAAGTTTGGCTCAGGTGCACCGTGCCAAGCTGCATGATGGCACTGTTGTGGCTGTAAAGGTATTTATGCTGCTATATATCTTGGATCTTGGGCTGCAGTGGCGACCCTGGGTGTCAGTGTACCCTTGCCTACTTAGGTGCAGTACATTGACCTACGAGACCGCTTTGATAGTGATGTGCAGACACTGGAGCTCCTGCTGCAACTTGTGGGGCTCATGCACCGCAGCTTCAGCTTCAGCTGGGTCCTGCAGGTAGTAACACCCATGGCAGCGGGGGGGGAGTGGCAGTTAGTGGAAAATGCTGAACTTGGATCTGACCGTGCCTATGTGTAACCTCTAGGACCTGAAGGGGACCCTGGCCCAGGAGCTGGACTTTGAGAATGAGGGCCGCAACGCTGAGCGCTGTGCTCAGGACCTGAAACACTTTCCCTATGTTGTGGTCCCTCGAATACATTGGGACAAGTCCAGCAAGGTGTGGGCTGGGCAGGGCCTTCCCTAGGAGTGGGATAGCACAGGCCTGCTGAGCTCAGCCTCTTGTTCTCTCCCAGCGGGTGCTGACAGCTGACTTCTGTGATGGCTGCAAGGTCAATGACGTGGAAGCTATCAAGATCCAGGGGCTGGCAGTACAGGATGTAAGTACCACGTGCCTGGGCAGGGCAGTGGCAGCTGAGCAGTGGTTGCTCCCTCTACCCATCATATTTCCCACCCCTTCCCTAGGTAGCAAAGAAGCTGATCCAGGCTTTTGCAGAACAGATATTCTACACAGGCTTCATTCACTCTGACCCTCATCCTGGCAATGGTATGAAAGGCCCCAAGGGTGGGACCTCAGTGGGGTGGCATGAGCTGACACACTGTGTTCCTAGTTTTGGTGCGGAAAGGTCCAGATGGGAAAGCAGAGCTGGTGCTGCTGGACCACGGACTTTACCAGTTCCTAGATGAGAAGTAAGCGGGGGCCAGATACTAGGGTGGTGGACCTCTTCTGGGCCCCTTTTCCTGCAGCTTGGGACTTGGTGCTCATAGCCAAACCCTCCTGCAGGGATCGGTCATCCCTGTGCCAGCTGTGGCGAGCCATTATCCTGAGAGACAAGGCTGCAATGAAGACACATGCAGCTGCACTTGGGGTACAAGGTGAGGGGGAGGTATGGACTAGGGCAGAGCAGGCAGAAGTCTATCACTATATGCCAACCCAGGAACCCCTACCTCCTCCACAGACTACTTGCTGTTTTCCGAGGTGCTCATGCAGCGGCCTGTGCGCCTGGACCAGCTGTGGGGCTCCCACCTGCTGAGCCGTGAGGAGGCAGCCTACATGCAGGAAATGGCTCGTGAACACTTTGAGGGCATCATGGCAGTGCTCAAGGCACTGCCACGGCCCATGCTACTCGTGCTGCGCAACATCAACACAGTGCGTGCCATCAACTCGACTCTGGGCACCCCTGTTGACCGCTACTTCCTCATGGCCAAGAGGTTGGTGACACAAGGGGGAGCCTGGAGGTGCCACAGCAGAATAGCAGGCTGATATGTATGTCTGATGCAGTGCAGTCCGGGGCTGGAGCCGCCTGGTGGGTGCAGCATACCATGGCGTTTACAGCAGCAGCCTTTTACGCCACATCAAGGTCATTTGGGAAGCACTCAAGTTTGAGGTGATGCTGAGGTGAGTGGACACGGGAGAGGGATGAGACTGGCCAGAGTCTGTTCCCCTTCAACCTGCCCTCTAGGCTGGAAACCCTAGCTTGGCCAGAGTCTATTCCCCTTCAACCTATGACCCTTCAACCTGCCCTCTAGGCTGGAAACCCTAGCCATGCAGCTCACCACCCTCCTGTTTCGTGTTCTGGCCCGCCTGGGCTTTGTCCCCCAGGCTGAGGATGTCTACCAGTACCTGGAGATGTAGGTCCCTAAGCCAGAATGACTACAAGGCTGCCTGAGGCCAACAGGGCTTCCAGCCTCAGCACACTGGACTGGCCCCAGTGCAGTTGTCTTACACCCTGAGGCCTGGAATGGGGATGCACTGTGGGGGCTCTGACAACACAATGAGCACATAACTCCTCTCAAACAAATCGTTCTCTTTGTGTTTTGTACAAAATGGGGGGTAGGGGACAGTACACAGGGGCAAGGTGGTACTCAGGGGGCTAGAAGTGGGCAGTGACACGGTCTGTCTCTAGCAAGTCATCCAGGATCTGTGGAATAATGGGGAGGTCTGGGTGAGGCTGGGTGAGGCTAGGCTGGGCAGGTGGCTAGGGTGAGAGGTTAGCACTCACAATGTCGGGTGTGGTGCCTATCTTCTTGGCCAGCTCACTGCGCTCCATGGTGCTGAGGTACAGGTAGCGGTTTAGTAGCTCTCCATCAAGGACATTACGCACAGCATTCTGCAAGATGCGCCGGTCTACGTGTAGCATCCTGGGGGTGGTGGGCATGAAGGGGTCAGAGTACATCTGGGATGCACAAAGGGACCAGGGAAGGCACACACTCACCGGAAGGCACGGGGGTTGAGGCCAGCGTGGTGGGGTAGCATGGTTGTCAATGCATTCTGTAGCATCAGCAGCCGTCGGTATGTCTTCTCTTGCATGGGCAACAAAAGCCCGATGCCGCCATCCAGGGTGGCTGAGGAGATGCTGTGTAAGCCAGACTGACCCTTCCATCCCCAGACAACCCTGTCTTCGTACTCACCAAACCATGTGATATGCTTGTTCTCCCACATGACTGACTTCTTGCTGGGTCCTTCAGCAGCCCCCCGGCATGGAGTCCTCCAGAATGTGTTCACATGGGCACCCACATGGAAGTCTGCTCGGCGTAGCAGGCGCATGCCTCCAAAACTCTCTTTGGCTGGGCCACAGGGACTCAGGTCAAGACCTGCCTTCTACTTGGTACCCAGCCCAGGAAGAGGTCTGGGAGGAACCACTCACCTTCCGGCAGGTACATATACACCATGAGGTTACGGTCTCGGTCAGACACTGATGAACAAAGACCTAGAGTGAGCCTTAGCTACCCATACCCTCCCAGTGCAGCCTCCCAAGGCCTATCCAACATGCTCACCCAGGAAGCCTAGCTGGGCATTGTCCACCATGAAGTCCACACTATACACCTCCAAGGGCTTGGCGTCCTGGGTAAAGGAAAGGAAGGGACAGTGTCAGGGAGGGCCTTGCACTGGTGCCTACCTGCACATCTGGCCCCATGAGTACCCGGGACACTAGGCTCAGTGTTTTGCTCTCTTCCTGGTAACGCAGCAGTGAGATGCTCTTCATGACATCTGCGGCCAGGATGAAGTTCTTGACACTGATCATCTGGTGGATATATAGCTGGGTGTCGATAAAGGCCATGCCCGTCAGTTCACTGGCCCGAAGGCTCCACAGGAAGATCTGGAGGGCAGGAGTTGTCAACTGGGCAGCTCTTATAAGGAGAGCAGCTGCTACAGGAAGGGAGGGCAGGAATAACATACTTTTTGGCCAATGGCTGACACTAGGTGGCCATTGCAGTGGCATAGTGCAGTCACGGGCCCCTTCTGCTCCTTCTCATACAGGACCTTGAACTTGTTCTTGGTCAGGGGCTGCCCAGGCTCAGGCACCACCTCAATCACATCCATGATCAGGATCTGGAAGGACATGGGAGTACATGGGGATGGCAGAGTTTTCTGGGGCAATCTGCCTCCTACCCCCAACAACAGGTCCTTACCCGCCCACGGCACGTGACCTCCTCCCCTTGCATGAGGCAGGTCCCAGCAGCCACATAGCCCTTGAGTCCTGATACAGTCTCCTCACTGCGTAGTGACACTGTTTTCATGCACGTGACATGTTCCCACTCCTCTAGCTCGATCCTGCATGAAGCCGGGCTGTGTCAGTACTTGCCACCCCAAGCTGCCAGCAAAGAGCAGCCCTTGGTAATCAAGCTTCACCTGGCATTGGGAATGGCCTCCCAACTGACTGGGGAGATGAGCTGGATGGAGAATGCCTCTTGTTGGGGGTGGATGTATCTGTCATCTGCAGAGACAAGGGCAGTGAATTACAGCCAGAGTATACAGCCTAAGCCTTGCCCCTCCAGGTGTTGCATACCTCTCTCGATAGCCTCAAACTCCTTTTCCTCACCAGTCATGCGTGGGATTCGAGTGCAAGGTGTATTGGTACTGGTGGCCACCGCATACACCTGGGGGGTTAGAAGGTGTCACATACCAGAGGCCAGGCTCAGAAGGTACCTGGGGGGGGGGATGTGGGAGGGGAGCAGACCTTGGACTCCACGTGGTAAGCCACATAGTGGGCTGTGCAGCGTAGTGGGATCTTTCTGACAGGCCATGGGGCATCATAGGACAAGTAGGCAGGCAGGACACTGATCCTCAGCTCACCCTGGGGGTGCAGTGGGCAGCAGAGTCAGTGTGACTTGGGGTGACCAAATTAGTACCGATGGACTCAGGCCTCCCAGGATGCTCCCCAGTTCTGCAGGAATGGGTACCAAGTTTGCCGTGTTGGGCAGCTGCCCAGAAGAGACTACAGCTTTGGTAGCCTGATTCTGCCTAGGCTCACCTTATGTTGGAGGACAGTGGCACAAGACATGGGAAGGCCAGGCCCAGAGGGTACTGGAACCAGCAGGCAAAGAGGGCTCCAGAGACTAGCCACACCAGGGAAGGCGCTGAAGCCAGGCAATGCTACCTTCACCAACAATCATGAGTTACTAGCGCCTGAAAAGCACCTGCCCCATCAGAGTCCTGAGTGATCACTACCACCGTCTGCATGGCACAAATGAGTAAACGGGCTCAGACATATGTGCCTCCCACAACGCAAACCGCAACTAAGAGGCAGAACAAAAAGTAAATTCAGCTCAGCTTGGCTCTTGAGCAAGGTCTGAAGGTGCACCAGAGCAATGGTTTCTAGGGTGTACATTAAAAATGGGATGATGACCTCACTGGCCAGCCCTCCACACCTAATTACCCCATCTCAGTCTTCGCAACATGAGCCTAGAGTTGAACTCCTTGGCCCCATGTCCCAGCATCTAGTCTGGCCCATGGCAATATCAGTGACACTGAAGGGAACTAGACAGGCTTCTTTACCTGTCTGTTGAAGTACAGGAATCCACGAGGGCAGTTCACATTGTGAAACGGGGCGAAGGAATCAATGGGGCCGTCGATGCCCATGGGGTGCAGCCGCAGAGCCCCTCGGCCAGTCACCAAGAGCCAGTGTGGTGAGGGTCCACAGATGAAAACCTGTGGGCAGGTACTCTGAGTGCACTGTAAGGCCCCCTCCTCTACTCCAGGCCCCTGCCAACCCATCTGCCTACCCCGGAATAGCCATAAATGTCCTCAAAGTAGCGGAAACGTGCCACACGGCCTCGGACTCCAGCCCCCTCCTCTGTGCTGCAACCTTCTGCCTTCTTCTTAGATGGTTTTGGCTTCTTTTCACGGAAGTTGATATTGTGGGGGACCTGGTAGAGATCACAGTGAGTGTTAGGCCCTCCAGACTGCTCACCTAGACTTCCAATCCACCCCATTGCCCAAGCAGGGTCCAGCCACCGGTACCTTCTTGAAGCGGACTTTGAGATTGCCCTGGCCAAGCTGAGAGTCATGGGGGAAGGCTTCATAGATGAGCAGCTCCTGGTCCACATGCACCTAGGGACCCAGAAAGGGATGGCTAAAGGGTGTGGGGAGGGCATGAAAACAGGAGCCTCAGAAGTGGGTGACAGGCAGGCACATACCAGTAGGTAGGGCCTGCTCTGCCGGCTCCCCAAAGCGACCAGCAACACCTCCTTGACCAAAGGCAGCTCTCCCTGGCGTGTGGTCTCTTCCTTACGGGCTTCGCCCTGTGTTGTAGGCTGTCCAAAGGAGCTGTCTACCAGGACCCGCTGTCCCACAGGGAAGTTCTTCACCAGGAACACCAGCCGCCAGTCTGGGAGTTGGTAGATCTAGAGGAGGACAGTGGTTAGGGGTAGAAACAAAGACTGCCATGCGATAGTGCTACTATACATGTGGCACACTCACCTCCATGGTGCCATTCTCCCGAACCAGTAGGCACCAGTGGGTGGGCTCTACCCTGAACTGTGCAGGGTCACGGTCAGTCGGGGGCAGGCTGCTTCTACGGGCTTCCTCTTTGCTGGGGCTGAAGAGGGATCCTGAGTCCCCATAAAGCATCTCTTCCTCATCATCTACTGTGGGGCTGGGGACCAATAGACATGTCATAGCCTGCCACTCGGACCCCAGCCCCTCATACACAGGTCCCTACGCACCTAGTCTCCATGCCCAGGCCCTCAGCCTCTGAGCCACTGCGGCCTCCCAGTTCATCACGAGACCCACCAAGGCGGCTCTCAGTGGTGAACATGCCACTGACATCACGGTACAGGCAGAGTGCGATCACTTTGGACTGCTGTAAGAAATGGGACAGGGTTCAGCTATGGGGAACAGGGCAGGCAGTGGGAAGACAGGGACATCAAGAAGAGGGGGTCTATCCAGGTGTGGTAGTGTACACATCTTTAATCCCAGCACTCAGGAGGCAGAGGCAAGCAGATCCTTTTGAGTTAAGGCCAGCCTGGTCTACATAGCAAGTTCTAGGCCAGCTGGGGCTACAGAGAGATCAAATCTAAAAGAAAAAGGAAAAAAAAAAAAAAAAAACCAAAAAAAAAAAAAAAAAAAGGGGCCCACATGGTGCAGGGGGGGTTTTTGTGAGGGCGGGGCGGGGGGGGGGC